TTCTGCCACTTCAGGGAGTCCTTTACGATGGCATCACCGGAGTCTATGAAGAGGCCCAAAGCAAAGAGTACTTAAGCATGTCAGAGTGGACCCTGCAAGTAGCCCACGGAGAGCTGTAGAGTAAGCACTTCCATAGTAGAATGGCTGAAGCACAGACCCAATTATGTCTGGGGGCCCAAGGAGCTTCCCCCATGTGCCTCCACAGGGTCTGCAAAATCAATGGCTGTTAAAAACGAGTTGGCAATTAAGGAAACTATATAGGGCAAGGCAAGACATTTGTCACAGGTATTCAGGGGATATGTGTCTGCCATGAAGGGCTTTAAAATGATCATCAAAAATATTTTCTCCAAGAAGCACTCAAGAGGACCAATATAAACCCACGAATCTCAAAGGCTAGCCTTTAAAATCTGATCTTTCCAAAGATCAACTGTTTCTAGTAAAATAAAGACTTCAGTTTGCCTTCCTAAGATAATGAGGGGGATAAATGTAAACCATGCTTTCTTTGTTTAAGAATAGCATTACAGACACCTGGCCTTGCTGCCAATTCCACTGACTTGTTTGTCCATAAATATCAATTTTCATATCCTCAGAAGATGCATGCATGTCTTTCTCCATGGCCACTGTGTTGTAACCATAGAGCATGCAGTGTAGATGCAAACCCAGCCTTGCTTCTTTTCTGCAAAGTCTGTCCTGTTTTGTTCTGTTACAGCTTGCTCTTTATGACATTTTGGATAAAGTCCAAACCAAATGGCTTGTGGCTCGTTCTTGGGTAGTAAAATCTCATCCACTCACTTCCAGTCACAAAATGAGTCTCAGTTCAGTAATTAAACATGTGAAGTCCATAGCAGTAATCAGAGTATCCAATTTCCCTTGAAGTTTGGCTTTTCTCTTCCCATATCTGAGTCTGCTTTGGGCTGGGTCACTGTGGGCAGGAGTTAGTCCTACTTGTCCTTGTCTCGCTCTTCCTCACCCTGCTTATGAGGGTTGCATACAAGGTAAAAGGGCAGGGGTCCCAAGGCCCTGCCAGGCCAGCTCTGGTGGGGCAATTCTTGGGCCACTGTGTCTTTCTCACAAGAGCTACCTGTTGCTGCTCCATCTCTGTACTTCTCTGCAGTTCTGTTGTCACAGCGCCCTGGACACAGGTCCATGTATTTCTCTGGCCAGCCTAGATCTCCTTCTGTGGCTATTCACACCTGCATGCACCTTAGTTCAAACCTTTGTCCATACCCTTTCTTCGGGTGCAGGTGAGGCAAACTAAGATTTTCACACCTGTCTATAAGTCTCTGAACAAACTGTACTTTGCTCTCCTATGCCCCAGATGCCTAGATTGGACCCAGAGCTGCCTCTTATAAGGTACAGCAATGACAGGGATGTGCTTTGCCCCTCTGACCATACTTGAGTCTTGCTATTGAGTTTTAGAATGATGACTAATCTTCAGAGATCATGATATCCCACTGTGGGAGCTTGCAGTCCCATCTTGACCTCTCAGGTAGGTGGGTCTGAGTTCAATAGCATGTCCAATTACCAAATCAACCACATCCCCATAGTGAGACCTACATGTTTTGACAGCAAGTGGGGATTTTGCTGGATTGAAAACATATTCAGTTGTCAGGTGCCCAGAGAAGGCATAGAAGCATCAGGCCTTGTCCTATCCAAGGGGCAATATCATTGAATCTGGAAGGTGTGAAGAATCAAGGACTTCAGCTACTATTAACTGAATAGCTTTGCACCTGCTTTATGCCTCAGAGCCTCAAAGTTCTGTCAACTTGACTCTTTAGACCATTAAATATCCACTGTGGGCAGGAGAGAACAGGTAACAGAGTGGAGAAGTATAGACAGACTGGCTCAAAGCTGACGTCAAGGTTCATCTATTTCTGTACATTTTTAATGTGATTTTTGCCCTCGGGAGTCACAAAGCAAATGGTCATTTGTCTCATCCATGTGCTCTTATTTCACTTGTCTGTGAGATGGTGATGCAGTGACTTGCCAGTCTTACTCTGTGAAAGATAGAGGCAGGATTGCCCAGTGTGGAATCAGGACAGAGACCTGTGCCCAGGTCTGCTGCACATTTCAAAAAGGAGTGGGCTTCAGGCATGACGCCAGAGTTCTATAAGTAGTTTTTATTTTAAAATCACATTTATTTATTTATTTATTTATTTATTTATTTATTTATACATTGTATGTATGTATGTATGTATGATTTAAAATCACATTTATTTATTTATTTATTTATTTATTTATTTATTTATTTTATACATTGTATGTATGTATGTGTGTGTCACGTGGTGTGTGTGTGTGTGTGTGTGTGTGTGTGTGTGTGTGTAGCATTCTGTGCTTTTAGAGGTAAGCCTTTACCACTGAGCCAAGTCAAAGACACAAGCTCTAGAGTTTTGATGTGCTCAGCAGCAGGGCTTGGCATCATAAGTGAGGAATTCTCCCATAGTGTGTGTAGCATTCTGTGCTTTTAGAGGTAAGCCTTTACCACTGAGCCATGTCAAAGACACAAGCTCTAGAGTTTTGATGTGATCAGCAGCAGGGCTTGGCATCATAAGTGAGGAATTCTCCCATTTCCTTGCCTGTTGTTTCTTGCCTTGGATTTGTTTATCCAGATGAATGGAAAGTTGATAGCTCCTCCCAAGGTGGACCTGTCTGCCTCTCCCCTGCTTTTCCTCCCTGCCTCCCTCCCTCCTTCCCTTCCTACCTCTTTCTCCCATCATTCCCTCCCCTCCTTTCTTCCTATTTTTTGTCAATACTGGGGATCCAACCCCAGATCTCACACATGCTGGGGCAAGAACTCTTCTACTGAATCAAACCCTACCCCTTTCCCGGCCAGTCTTGAAATGATTGGGCAGATGGTTTGGCCAGGCTTAGGGATGTGTCTTAGTTTTGGCTATGGATGGTTGGGCTGGAGCCCTATGGTTAGCATGTCTGGCTTCTTTGTGAAAGGAAGGGTGTTCAGTCCTGCACCTACAATGATAGGAGGAAGCTGCACCTACAATGATAGGAGGAAGCCTTGACACCAGGGTTGCATGCTTGGCTTGCTTGCTTACAGCTTGAGCTAATAATGGCTGCTCTTCTTGATGCAAGTACCAGCCCCTCTGTCTCCTCAGGAAAATGTCATCCAGGGTTTCTGTAGAGTGACTGTGGAGACAAGGGTCCTCATACTCATGACATCCCCTAGGTGCTCACACCTACTCCAGATGGAGAAGAGGAGCCAGAGATGGAACATCCATGTGTCTTCCTGGTCCAGATGATGTGTCTCTGTGTTCCATGGCTACCCTGCCCATAGTCAGAGCTTCTAAGCCACTCTGTCTCCAAAGCACAGTTGCTAACTGAACATGCCTCAGTGAGTGTCTTTCTCCTCACAGCTTACGAACAGGATGCCCTGCAGCTGCCTGACAATTGTAGCCGCAGCCCATAGGGTACAGATATGCACAGTGAGCATGATGGTAACCATAGATCCAGTGTGAGAATCAGACCTGCATGGATCCATCTACTAACCTGCACTTAACAGGTGGCGGGGGGAGGGGGGGCAGTGTTGACAGTGGCCATGGTGTTGGCAGTGTACAAGATATTCACCCTGGTAGATCAAAAAGATTGCAGGTAAAAGATGACAAGATGGTTCCCTGTTTTGCCCCCACCTGCCCTATCCTCCAGGCTCAGATGTTTTCCCAGAGGAAGCCACTGGTCACCAATTTTGCATGTGTATATTTGCAGGCATATACACATATGTGCGTATTTATGTGGCATGCACACCCACATGGGAAGCTATTTCTGCCATCTCCTACCTTCCCCTCTGTGACTTCCCCAGTAGAGGCTGATGTCAGATGCTCTTGATTCATCTTGAGAAGCAGAAGTGTGCCAGCATCGTGTCTCTCAAACCAGAAGAAGCCTGCTCTTGCTTCTCTGGTGGTTTCTCTTCTGTTGGGCTGGTGTGTAGCTGAATAGTTTGGTTTCCCTTTCTGTTCTTGCTGGTAAAACAGTCATCAGTGTACTATATTTTACTGAAAGCATTTTCTCAGGTTTTTGAGCATTGGATAGGTATAGTATGGAAAAGAAACTTTAAACTTCAACTTGGTTTTCATTCGGGGCTTGCCAGATTGTGTCTTTTTCTCTATTCCTTTGCTCATGCAACTATTGTTCAAATGTCATGTACTCCAGCTCATGGAAAACCTCTTACCCATTGGGTGATGAACAAGGGATAGCTAGAGGTATGGCCAGCTTTGAGGCCTCTCCATACCCATCAGGGATGCTCCATGGTGTCCATGATGGCCATCAGCTGTCAAAGATTTATTGAGGTTGGTTCTGTGTCACACTTTGTTCTTTGTCCTTTCTGGGGAAGGCCCATGTCCTATACATCTCTAACCCAAGTAGACTTGCCACACAATATTACCTAAAGGTGATTTAGACTATGATGAGTTCAGGCCCATATGAAGTTGGATGGCACAAAGGAAGCTCCTGACTGCCCAGGCTTGGGATGTACAGGGAAAGCAATAGCATCCAGATTTGCATATGGACCATCTGCTCTGAGCCATCGCAGTGGCTAACCATTTGCTAGTAGTATTCTTAGCACCTCCCACCATGTGCTGACTCACCAGGAGGACTGTTCCAGTCCTGGGTGGTTTTTATTGGGGACACTCTTCATGTGTTCACTCTTCATGGGATTCTTCATCTAAAAGATTGTAGAGGACAGAGTGGGGCCAGCCAGCATCTTCAGGGAAAGGCCAAAAAGAGGGCTTCAGGGAGTCGCAGACACAGATGTTATGGGTGGTCCTTAGTTGGGTCAGGAAGGGGATCAGGTGAGAGACCCATGTCTCTGAGGCTCCGTGTCAGGATAACATTATCATTAGTCAACAGCTGGAAGGCCAAGACGCCAGAGTCTGCCTGTAGACTGGTAATCAGTTTGGCTTTTCAAAGCCACATTTTATCTTTGCTCAATTTTTCAAATCCTGACTGACACGACAAATGGAATACTAATGACCATTGTTTTGGTCCCACAGATAGAAGCAGAGAGCTCAGCCGTGCAAGCCGTCCTTCTGCGCTGATGCTACGTGCCCCAGAGAGGAAAAGCCTGGTGGGAGACAAAGCGGAAAAGGTGAGTGTCAACCCTTGGAGTTCTTTTGAGACACAACCTACAGGTGGAAGACCTAGGGCTGGGACAGCCTCACACATGTTTCTCAGAGGCATTTATGAAATGGTCTGGCCAGTCTGCCCTGCACCACAGCTGAATCCAGGCTGGCAACTTCATATCCAGATGCAGAGCAAACCCCAAGCAAGGTCAGGCGGAGCACCCCGACCTAGTAGAGTTCATGGATGGGATCCTGTGGAAAGTTCACACTGCATCTGTTTTCAGAATGAAAAGCAGACATGTGAGGGTCAGGCTTCTGGTGACATGCAGTTCAAAGTTAGGTTCTACTGTTAAAGAAATCTCAAGGCAGGGGTATTTTTCTTTAAATATTGACATTTTAGGTCATTTTCTTCACACGTTTGTCAAATGGCTACACAGTCCTGCTTCTGGATCAGCTAGTATTTCCCTATGTCACTACACTTTCAAGTAACAAATTGTAAGGCACCTGATCTCAGCAGGCTGTCCTGGAGCCTCTGTGTCCAAGAACAGAAAGTGTCTTCTTTACTTTTCTCAAGTGTTCCTACCTCATGCCCACTGGGAGTGCTCTGTTCTCCCTGGCCTATGCTCTCCAGTTACCCTTACCCCAGGACATAACCACCCTGAAGCTCACCTCTAATACCAGTGTTGGGTGGTAAACACTAATCACAAGCATGTGTGGTGTGGATTAAAACATGTTCTTGTTGTGTAAATTTTCCAGAAGAGATTAGCATATCTACATCAGAGTTACATATTGGTTACACAGCTAGCCTGGCTGGTGCCATCCATAAATGCTGGCTTTAGCACTGGGTTCTGCCAGTCTGATTCACTTTTATTACTTCCTCGTCAAGCAGGAGTTTTACACCGTGATTAGCCATTTTTATCACCAACAGGAAATCATAACCAGCATGTGCCTCATGAAGAAGATCTTGGTAATTAGCAGGAGAGGATCCTAGCACTGCCAAATTTAGAAGTTGGTTCCATCACAAATTACACTCTACCATATTTACTTGAATAATTTGGTACTCAGAGTCTCCGTGCTGAGTTCTATTGTTCAATTAACTTCCAAATGAAAATCCCCTCCAGTTTTCCTAATTGGATTAGCAATATAAACCCTGGTATTAATATATATACACATATATATTTGTGAAGACAAGTGCTTCTTAATACTCCCCGTTAAGCTAATTATTTATCCTGACCTTATTTTCTCGCAGGGAAAAGATATTTTCTACTTCCAGAAAGTTCTTTAGAAAATTCCGAAAAAGCTTTGTTCTGACACTTAACAATGTAAGAGATAGCTGCATAAATTAAAAAACATTTATTAAATGCTGGTATCAGCCACAAAGAGCAGAGGCTATGAGAGACCCCAGAAAGACACAGAATGCACACACACACACAGGTGCATCATGGGTACAAGCTTCAATCACCTTCTCAGATTTATCCCCACACCAGAACAGGGCAGGTGCTTTTTGTGGCCATCTGTTCCCATCTCAGGCTTGTTGTCCTTCCCTGTTGGGAGGGACTGGCTGGTTCTTTTTATAACACAGTCAACATGAAGCAGCTTTGTTGTATTATTAAGATTTTGCCGAAGAGCTACACTCGGCAGAGTTACCTCTCGGGATTTCTCCTTCTTTAAAAAGCTTTGTTCTGACACTTAACAATGTAAGAGATAGCTGCATAAATTTAAAAACATTTATTAAATGCTGGTATCATCCACAAAGAGCAGAGGCTATGAGAGACCCCAGGAAGACACAGAATGCACACACACACAGGTGCATCATGGGTACAAGCTTCAATCACCTTCTCAGATTTATCCCCACACCAGAACAGGGCAGGTGCTTTTTGTGGCCATCTGTTCCCATCTCAGGCTTGTTGTCCTTCCCTGTTGGGAGGGACTGGCTGGTTCTTTTTATAACACAGTCAACATGAAGCAGCTTTGTTGTATTATTAAGATTTTGCCGAAGAGCTACACTCGGCAGAGTTACCTCTTCGGGATTTCTCCTTCTTTAAAAAAAAAAAGATTTTTAAAACATTTAAATGATGTGTCTGTGTATGGCTATGTACATGTGCCTGTGGGTGCCTAAGGAGGCCGGAAGAGGGCGTTGGATTCCCTGGATCTGGGGTTACAGGCAGTTGTCAGCTGCCCAAAGCACTGGGAACCAAATTCAGATCTTTTGCAAGAAAAATGTGTACTCTAAATTTCTGGGCCGTTGCTCCAGCTCTTGGTTTAACTTTCAACTTGTAGGTCATAACCCCTTAAGAGGGATGGTCAC